GTTACAGAAGAGCATACAGAGATTGAAGAGAGCAACTGAAATAAAGCCGGAGCAATAATGTAATAGATGGCCTTCACAAAATAGATAAGATTAGAGAACCGTAGCATCAGATTTCAAAAATAAGACGCATTAATAAGAAAGTATTGAACTGTAGCGCTATAATAACACAGTTACAGAAGAGCATACAGAGATTGAAGAGAGCAACTGAAATAAAGCCGGAGCAATAATGTAATAGATGACCTTCACAAAATAGATAAGATTAGAGAACCGTAGCATCAGATTTGGAAAAATGAGGCACATTGATAAGAAAATTTAGAACTATAGCGCTAAAATTATAGGGTTACAGAAGTATGAGCAAATATTGAAAAGCACAATCCAAATAAAGCTAGAGCCTTAACAAGATGTGTATCTATAATTGAAGAGCTGTCGTATCAGATTTTGAAGAATAAAACGCATTGATAAGAAAATATTGGACTGTAGTGCTAAAATTACAAGTTTAAATAGGAGCATAAAGAGATTAAAGACAACAATCGCAATAAAACTAGAACAATAATGTAATAGATGACCTTCACAAATTGGGTGTATATAATTGAAGAACTGCTGTATCAGATTTGAAGGAATGAAACTTATTGATAAGAAAATGTTAGAATGTAGCGCTAAAATTACAGGGTTACGGAAGTATGTGCAGAGATTGAAAGGAGCAATCGAAATAAAGCTAGAGAAATAATGTAATAAATGAGCTTTACAATATGGGTATATATAACTGGAAAGCTGCCGTATCAATTTTGGAAGAATGATAAGAAAATATTTGACTAAATTATTAAGGAATATCAAATAATACAAGATTGATAAAATAAAAAAAAATTACAAAGTATACTAATAGTATAATATAGAGTAACTTGGATTCTTATAATTCATTTCTGATTTTGCTATTTTTAGAGTACAAAACAGAACAAATATCAATTTATTAAAAAATCATTAATAGCAACTCTACAACGCGTTGTGTTAAGTACATACTCAATTTTTCCTACAACAGTAATTGCATCCCAATTGATTTATAGAACCGTCTTATTAAAATCAACTCTATCACTCTGACAACTAGGGTGAAAACTTCGACTCCTTTTTTTACACACTGATTAAGAATAAGAATTTGATGAATCTATTATTTTATTACTAATACTCATCATTTCTACTAACACTCATTCATAAGTACTTCTATTTGTTAATCTACACAGAATTGATGGGATCTCATGACGTATTACAACAAGAAATACCTAGAAAGCAAAACTCATAGATCAACTGCTTTAACCAATCGCTGAAAATGTGAAAGATTTTTAGTCGATCTATATATGAAACATAGTAACTAAAAAATTCTCAATTTATTCAATTCTATGTTGAATTCCAATACTTTATGGTTAATGAATGACTAGTAGAGATAACCTCTTATTCTTCTTATTGGCGATAAATTCATTACGACTACATTAGTTACGTTGAAACTGATTTCATATTTTTTTGTTTACTTTATTTTCTTAACTATTGACAGATAAGGAATTTTTATGTTGGCGTTTCAGCTGCATAATAGGAGTTATTGCGAAAATACTCCCAAAGTGATCTAGTACTCTGAAAGCCCCGTGAATAGGATGAAAGTTGAAATTGAAATCAATCAGGATCAAGGCAGAGAAATTTAACCACTAAATGGGGTAGGTCCAGAGTGCGCTTTGACTGAAATAATTATGTGCATTGGGACAGGAAAATATATGGGCGACATCATAAGTGGTAGGGCTGCAGTTAGAACACACATTGGGAATTAACACATTTATACGTGACAAGTAACTGTTTAGTACTAGGACAGTTTCTGCCGCACGCAGAACACTCCGAAAAGGGACTACCCGTTACAATGTAGACTGTCATACTAAATGTTGTACCCATTAAAATGTTTTAAGATTAAAATAAATAAGAAAAAGGTATCTAGCTATAGCTCATAAGATCTTTTTAAAGGAAGAAAAATAAATTTTAAATTATAATTAATTAGATTTCAGTTTTATTTTCATTACTTTTTGAGTGAATATTTTAAATATATCTTAGATAAAATAAATATTGTATTATAAAAAAAAACAATTTGAGTTTTTAATTTTTTTCACCATTTTATTTATTGATAATATTAGATAATTTTCTATATATAGAAAAATCATTTTTCAAATACAATAAGATAAACCAAATGTTGTCAATTATCTTACCGTTTAAATCCTTCGTCAACTGGGAACGCGTCGACATTTTGCTACCAAATTTATGCAGAATTTTTGCGGCGAAAGTTGATAACTTTAATCCAAGCAAAAAAATGTAAAATTTATTTTCTTAAAAAAACAAAACAACACAAAGTGGAGAAAACACCAGAAAACAGGATCTACCAGAAGAAGAAGTGGAAGAAGGGCCTGGCTCTTTGCTTTGAATTAACTTGCTGCTTCTTTTGTGTTTTATTTTTATTATTATTTTGTGCACTTTGTTAACTGAAACTTGGATGCAGTACTGTTGATGAAACTTGATTTATTTGCTGAGGCCACCGCCCGCTGTTCAGCTTCCCCGTTCCAGGAGGCTACGTATATTATGCGTTCATGTGTGTATATGTATGATTACTCTTCAAATCTTGTTTGAAATTAATAACTTCTTTTCAGTGTTTTAAAAGAATTTTTTTATGAAAAAAACTTATTATTATCAATTGCACATAATTAATATAATTCAATTACAAATGAAGTTAAACTTTAATCGCTAAAATACTGATTTTTTCACTGCATATTTTTCTTTGATTTACTTGAAAATTACTTTTGCAGAACATTTTCACTGCCGACACTGAATTTCCACCCTTTTTCCTTTTAAGCCAAACACACCTTACACACTTGAGCACTTTTTTAATTTTGTTTTATATATCGATTTAAATCTATTCACCATAAAACAGATATTTTATTTAATATACTCTTTTATTTTATTAATAAAATTTTATAAATTTTTTACATTAGAAGTAAACAAACAAAAATTCTATGAGATGTATGAACACGACACCATACAACTTCTACAACACACGGGAGCTAAATAACAACTGAGCTGAAACGAACACAAAGAAGACAAAATTGAAAATTGATTATTTCAGAACAGAGTTGTATTTTCCAATAAAGAGAAAAAGTCTTTAAAAAGTCAAATTAGGGAATTAAGTAATCGATAACTATAATAAAAAAATTTCCTTTGCTTAAATATTAAATTTTATACACCATAAAATTTAAATTTTCTGCTTACCAACTTAAATTACTTAACATTTTTATATTTTATATAATATAATTGGCGCGATATAAAAATTAAAATTGATGACTTCAATATCAAGATTAATATCAAACTTTTTTCAACACGTTTAGAATTTTAGAATTTTTTTGTTAACAATAAATTCTGAGATACACATTATTTATGTATACGACCGTGTGCAGCCGTAAACATATGGTAATGGTAATACAATGGTAACACTTAATTCACCTAATTTTTATTAAATTTATCCAACTTGAAATTCTGGTAAATACCAACATTTTCTGCTATACCGACATATTTTCCTCAATTTACTCGAACTCGTAAACGGTCTTAATAAGTAAACCAAAAATAATAAATAAGTGCAGTAAATAAATATATATATATTTACTTAAGTGCAGTGCAAAATATCCCTAGAAAATTTCAATTTACTCGAACTCGCACATGACCTACATCAACAACAAATAGATTTATAAGGAATTAACATGTATTATTAGGAAATAGTTTTAAAGAAAATTTTATAAAAAATATTAATCCAAAGTTTGATCCAAAGTTTTGTATTTGGAATTAGCATATCCGTTCACCTTGATTTTTGGGAATGATCCCACCGATGTTGGCATTAATTAAAATTCTTGTCTTTTATTTCCTGATAAGAATCTGACAAAGGTTGCTTAGTTTCAATCATTTGTAGTCGAGCCCACAAGGAAAAACTGTGCTTATGCTTTAATTGAAATCCTTGAGTCGCACCGACTAAACCATTCCCTCTCATTCCTAGAGACCTTGTCCTACCCCGGGACTACGTTAGTATTACTTCGAGGTAGAGTCCCTGTAGTATATTCGATCATGGCAACCCTGTATACAGAAATAGATAAAAAAAGGAAAAAATAAAAAATGTGTTTTTTGTCGTTGTGCCGTGCCGTAATTATTATTATTATTAATATTAAATTGTAAATCTATACAACTTTAATCAATAAAGTATATTGTATTATATATAAAGAATATAATAGTCCCTATGTCCCTATTATTCATTTAAGACTTCCATCGGTGTGAGCTACTTTCAGGTCCCGCTACTCTGATTAACCTTGCCCTTCTTCCTGGTGTGATACATCTGCTAACTCCAGCTGTCTTCTATTAAGATCTACTCAGAATCCTTTCAGCAAACACTTTACGCGATCCCAATTTGTTTTGTTTTCGGTCTTTGGAGTAAAAACACCAACTTGCGCTGCTAGTGCTTCTCGTTCGGGCAACCACTTATTGCACTCCAAGAACAGATAGTTAGTTTTTGGGTGTAATTTGATTGTATATAAATACAATCAAATTACACAATATGAGTTCTACTTTAATCTGTTTACTATATAAAAACTGTTAGTTTGGTTTTTATTTTAAATTTATTGTGTGAATTCGTACTTATTTTAATGTAGTTTAACAATTGGAATGACTGCCTCTAAAATAAAATTTGGGTTTTTATTAACAATTTTTTTGGTGCTCAAAGTTTGACAAGCACTGCAATATTTTTTACTCATTGAATACAGAATATAATATTTAATTTTTATAAATTTATAGATTATTATTCATATTTAATAAAAAAATCTAAACATATACAATTAAAAATTGTGCATCTATTATTATAAGCTATATAATTGATTTTTAATGTGGTATATACATAGCTTAATAATTAAATATATAATAACAAGGTTACACTATTTTTTAGTACTATTTTTTAATACGTTTTCAATTATGTAAACAACAAAAACTCAAAAAAGAGTGTAGCGGCGCGCAGTTCTTAGTTGCACATTAGTTGAAACGGTTTAGAATGAGTAATTTAGGAGTTTTAAATAAAATTGTGAAGTTACAAAAATTATTGCTGCCTTTAAGTGAGTAATTCGTTCGTATTGTGGGTTAAAATTTTCAGTGAAAAATTTAGTTTTATCGATTCTGTTACAACATATTTTACAATATTTGACATTAGAAAAGGTGAGAGATGAACTGAAAACAGCTGATTGCTGACAGAGGAAGTAAAAAGAATAATTCATTTATATTCTAAATCAAATATTTACATATTTGTTGTGAAAAATTATGTAAAAAATAATAATAAAATTTAAATAATTGAATGCGTTGGAGTATAATATTAAATCTTTTCTAGAGATAAATTTTGTTTTGAATATAAATTATGACTGAAAATAATTTACACCAAGTGCAAAATGCACAAAAGCCGGCACAAAATCTTTTGTATTTAATTAAGAAACTAATTCAAGAAGAACAGTACGAAGGATTAAGATTATTATTCACAAGTGAGACTGAAGCACAACGTAATATTGAGTATATCGAAGAAATTTCCTCGGAAGTGTACCATGACATTTGCTTGGCGAATCTGAACGACAGTAATTACAACAACAACCTGCCACTCTATATCTGCGCTGAGGAGATACTTAAAATATTGGTGACATATGCAACAGTTGATGAATTAATACTAGAGTTATTGGATGTTATAGAGGAACAAAGCTCAGATAATGTATTTACCACTGCCCTGCGTGCCTTACAAATAGCGCTGCTACGTTTAGGTGAGAAGAAACCACGAGTTTTGCAATGGAGCTACAATTCAGTGTTAGTACATCTCAATAAGCTGCCTTTGCCAACATATTTAAGTACTGGCTATGATAAGGAAGAATGTGCACTATTAGAACAAAATGCACAGATTGAAAAGCTACTTATGTCATATGTCACTATTGGCTTGTTTTATGATGAACTCGTAAGAGACGCTACCACTACCCTGCAACTTACTAAAACCGGCTTCCGCGATTGTGGTATAAACAGACGAAATGTTATGTGCTGCTTTTTATTAAAGCTACTCGATAAACCTTTGGCACTTCTGGATTTAAGTGCTGATGAAAATAAAACAAACACATACACAATGCAAGTAGCGACAAGTCTTACAAACGCCATCACCGCATGCATTGTGGATCCATTCTACTTTTTTAGGTTTTTGGAAATTCGTGAAGTCTTAAAAAGTAATGATGTTAATTGTGAAAATATCTTTATAATGGAAGAAACTCTACCAAGCGTAGCGTTGGGTATATATTACTACATGTTATTAGTACGAAAGGTTGGCACAGAGCACGTACCAAAAGTATACACTCCATTATATGTGTTCAAGTCCTTACTTATATTAGCAACTATACTTGCTTATGAAGATGAACCTGCTCTGCAATTCCAAAGCTTATTACTGAATAAATATGCACTGCAACAATTGCAAAATATAGAAATTCCATTTGATGTGCTACAACTGAACGATTTTCAAAAAATGATGGAAAGATTATGTGAATTTTGTGCCTCATGTCCGCACAAAGATATCCGTCATCTTGGGCCAGTTGTTCTAAACCATTATATCCTACAATTAGATGAAAAAGCTCAAATGGCTTTGATGCATCATTTGCTGGAGAAAGTGGGTTATGATAGTTTAAAAGGCTTTATAATAATGAAATTCAAGGATGCTTGCGATGTAAAATTATTCAATACTAATGATGTGCGTATAGAATTCGTTAATCAGTTCCTAAATAATATAGTAGCTAAGAAATTATGTGTACTGCACCATGGTGTACAATCGGATCTTCTAAATATGTCTGAAGTTCTTATCTCAACATTAAATGTTCTAATATATTTTGCAAGTCACAATCTTGTCCAGCATACCGAATTTATAAACTTGTATCCACAAATTGAAACAAATTTCGTGGAACCATTACGAGATGCTGTGAATTTATCGGAAGCACACTATAAGGCAAGAATTGATCAATGTGAAAAAGGCTTAGATGCCAAGGATGATGCCAAGCTACTTCAACAGGTACAAATGATGGATATTAAGATTACTAATGATACTGTTGGTACTGAAGATAATGAAGATTCCAATGTCGTATTTAGCAAGGAGAAAAAACTTCAAGTATTTAACGACAACATACAAAAACTCAATATAATTTTACATCTGCTTAGTACCTTAGGAATGTTTATGGAAGTAACCATGAAAAAGAAAATTGTCCCTTATGTTAAATAATTACACTCTATAACTAAATAATTAATTCTAATTGTAACATTATTTATCATATGCCGTGCTTTATTGAGTAAACTCAAATAAGAAAAAATAAATAAATTTTTATAAGTAAATAAATTGTATTAGAAGGCTTAGTTTTTTTTTTTTTTAATTACAATACCCGTCAAAATAATGTCTCACTATATATTTATTTTACTCATTATATATTATTAACTACTTACTAACTTATTTATTTCTTTTTTATTACTATAAATGATTAATTAAGTAGATTATACAATTCAACGTGACACAGGTCGTCTATTCTGCAAACGCTAATAGCCATTCATTAAGGTTTTAATGAACTTGGGCGAGCACCTTTGATAATTTTATTTGTTTTTATTGTTCCATATGTCATAAGGTTCAACATTGCTGTAGCGTAAGATGAAGAAATCTGTTGCTGCTCAATTTAGGGCATTCACTAAGAATATGTTTAAAGGTGTCAACATATATTTCACAAAACAACGATTTTGTTAAGATGTTAACCCAGCCTGCAATGCCCTATTAGAAACCCGCTGACAATTTTAATAACTCTCTCTACTTAAAGTAAGAGTTCTGCAAACGATGGATAAGTCTAAAACAGATGGATTAATCTGTTGCCACTTCATTTAAAACATTTGCAGAAAATTTGTTCAGACGTTTTAACATTTCACATAAAGTCTATTTAGTTGAGATAGCACCTCGGCCTACAGTATCCTATCAGAAACCCGGAGAGAATTTTAATACTCTCTTTGCTCAGTGTTAGAAGTTTATGACTACATTAGATGCGTAAATAAATATGTTTGCCACTAAGTGTGCTTTTGTCAGAGTAGTGAAAATGGCTTAGGTCCTGTCATGTCAGGCAAACACAGGACTTTCGTCGCTTTCGTGAACTTTATGTCCTTAAAGCCACCATAGAATGACAGAATTGTTTTGTCCCAAATTATTGATGAGAGATAAGCACTTTTCTACGTGAATTGTTAAAATGTTCAGACGTAAAAATTATATATATTTTTGGCTATTACTTTGTATCGGGCAAAGCATACGAAAAAAAGACTATACGAAAAAAAGACCAATTGGTTATAGTTTATTCGTTTATTTAAATCACCATATATATAATCATATATATATGTATAACCACATATAATATATATAAATTATTGATATTAGTACAACAAAATCTACGAATTTTGATATGTCGAATTAAAGAGCTTTCATACAGGGTCAATTAAGTATATTTGTTACTCCAGAAAACCTAAAGCCCTCAATATTATAATATATCAAAAAAACATGGAGATCATATTTTACATACACATTTGACCATGAAAAAAATGAGACATTATCGATCAAAATCAGCAATACATTGTTCACAATGATTACTGGTGGGCATACTGATTGCGCAGTGAGAATGATTTAGTCATATGATGTACTCTAGAGATAAATAATAGTAAGCTTACCAATTCACTCAACTAAAGCACAGCAGTCAACTAGAAAGATTATATCATTTATCGTCATGTCATACGTCGATAACATAGAAAAGAATTGATCAATCAACAGCATATATTAAGTAGCGTTATTCCTTTACGTGATGTATTTTTCAGATTTAATCCCAAGTGTAAAATATCTATTCGTACTTTTCAAAAGCTCGGGTGAAAAGGATACAGTACAGAAATATCGATGTGAGAGAGGCTTATTGCGTATTTTTTTTATAAACACAATTTTTTGTTTCACGATGAACAAGATTTGCATCAAATAGTCCAAGCTATCGACATATACATATGTATATATCTGTTTTGCATTAAAAAATTTAAATATTGCACTAACCTGAATAATTCGAACTATACGCATATTTGAGTTCCTTTAATATGTGATATTCACGGTGTTAAAATTATAACATGCTTTATGTGAATAAAGCTGAAAAAATTATAATTCTCATATGGTTTTTGAATATGAAATTATATAAAGTAACTCACTACGAACATATTCTTATGTACATCAGAAGCATCATTAGGTGTAACTATTATTATTATAACCGAATTTCCTAATTAGTTTATAGTTCATATATAATTTATGTGGACTGCAAGTGCCATGCTTAGAACTCGAGGCTTAGAAACGAGGACTAGTCATATTTATGCACAAACTTTCAGTGCTCTAGTTCTAGTTTTTTTGTCACATTTTTTTAATTAATTAATGACATTGTCCAAAACACTTGCCGTGCTTTAAATTATTTCATTCATTATAAAACAATATATTCTTATATATATTATATATGGAAGAGAGGTAAAACTTAACCTATTTTATTGTATGAAATACAATATAAATGTTTAATATTGAAACTAAAATAGAAAAACCGAATCTAACATCGCTTTAACGCTTTATTTTTTAGTTAAATAATAATAAACCTTGAAAATATTTGAAAAAAATTTTACTTCCACAAAAATAAGAGGTCGACTCCAAACAATAACAAAAAAATGCATTCAGTCTTAAACACATTCTGACCAATTTAACCATAAGCGCTAAGCATGCTAATTATCGATTCATCAATTAAAGTGCGAATCTATGAGATACGAAAAAAAAAAAAAATCCCACCTCAAAGTGAGACATTTGAGGTTGGCTTATATGACTGTATCCGATTATTACGTATAAGTTCGAAATTTATTTACTTTGCAAATACATTAATAAACAAATTAAATGTTAATTAACTAAGCTGTATATTAAATATCATTACAGGTGCGCACAATTTTCTGCTTGCTTCAAGTTCATATGCAACACAATTTCTGCACAACAACAACAACAACAAAAAGAATAACACATTTACTGGATGCAGTAGGCATGCGACCCAAAACAACAGGAGCAGGACTTACACGACTACTAATGAAAAAACGATCAATGATTTTCGGGAACGAGAGGAGCAGCGTGAACGAGAGTTCATAAAACAGCAAGAAAAAATCGAAGAAGAGTATACAAAGAAAGACAGTAATCCGGATGAGGAAGCGAAAAAAGCTAAAGTGGATGCTATACGCACAAAAATACTTGAGGCATCACTTGTACATGTGCCAGCATTAGGTTGGAGCCGGAATGCAATTGTAAAGGGTGCTGAAGATTCAGGCTTTCCAGGTGTGATACATGGTATGTTTCCAGAAGGTGGTTTTGCATTAGTTTCATATTACAATGGTATATGTAATGATGAACTTGCGCAGAGAATGGCAGAAGAAACAGAAAATGGGACGAAAGAAGTTAAGAATCCTTTGGAATTTTTAGTACGCGCTGTACGCACACGTATGGAAATGATTATAGTCTATAAAGCACAATGGCCACAAGCGCTGGCATTGATAGCTTTACCACAAAATGCATCGACTGCATTAGCGCAAGTTCTAACACTTGTGGATGATATATGCTATTATTCTGGAGATCGCTCAGTAGATGTAAACGCTTTTTATCAATATCAATTATTGTAATTATATTTATTTGAAATTATACTTTCAGTTTGATTGGTATACACGTCGTATAGGTCTTGCCACTATTATGAAAATGACAGAATTATATATGCTACAGGATACCTCGCCGCAACATGAGAACACTTGGGAATTTTTAAAAAATCGCATGGATGAAGCAGTGCAACTACAAATGATGCTATCACAAACGGGAGATATGACAAATAACTTTCAACGTTCCTTTAACTCTGCTTTTATAACGGTATGAAAATAATATATATTATATTATTATATTTAAACTAATTTTTTTTTTTTTCTCTTAAAGGCAAGAAATATCCTTGGACTTAATTACGACCGTAGATAAAACGATTTAGTTGATAACAATTTTTTTTAAATTTAAATGAATACTATTGATCTTGAAACTACAACTAAAAGATGAGCGTACTGTACTTAGTCACTAATTATTTAGTTTATTTCTATTATGTGTTTGGAATTAATTAATTGTTTTATGTTTATTGTTATATAAAATTTAAGTTTTTACGTATATCCTTTATTAGAAACAAGATTTTATTAATATTGCCAAATGAATTATTTAGTTATATACATATACTTTTTTCTTTAACTGTAAGGTTAAATTTAAACTGGGTTTTGAACCAGATATTTTTTAATTCCACTAAAAGAAAATACATCGGTTTAGTTCCGGTTCACCCGACGTTAAAAACATCGTTTTTTACGGTTTTCGGTTTAGTTACAATTTTTATATAATTTTTTTTCAAATAGTTAAACTAAAATTTAAATTTTTCTAATTGTTTTATATAATTTATAGTTGTATGTATATTGATATTAATCATAGAATCAAAAGTTAATTATATGAAATGTAAATAATATTTGTGCTTCAATATATATAATATTATTGTATAATATTTCTTTATTGTTATCACAAATGAAAGGTTCTTTATTTTTAAAATTTATTTTATTATTTCTTGGTAGACTAGACGCTCATGAAGATATAATTTTTGTAATAGGCTCAGAAATTCTTGTACAGTACAAAAATGTGTTAAAATTATATTAATAAAATATATTAATTTCAAAATTAAATTAATATCTTTTAATTAATACTCGATTTAAAAATTTCAATTTATATATGTTCTAGAATGCAATGAAGCTATAGCCAGACTAGACTGCAACCCCAGATTTTATATATACTGAATTCCTGGTCATAAAGGGAAAGAGGGAAATGAGAAAACAAAACAAGCGAAGTACTCAGATTTCTGAAATAGATACATAAACTCGTGAACGAACACATGACAAGAAGAGCAAAGGAAAGGTGACAATATTTAACCACCTGTAGAATAACTAGGATTCTGTGTGGATATATATACGAAGTAAAGTACACAGAAGATATTATATCATTTAGCCGAAGGAATTTTAGAACATAAATTGGTATATTAACAGATCACTGTCTGGTTGCATCACACGCGCACAAACTAAACTTAACTCGCAACTATGCTTGTACGAAATGCAACGAGCCCGATGCAAAGAAAACTTTGGATTCCTCTCGCTCTGTCTCTTTCTCTCTCTCGAGAACTCAACAAAAATATTTTGAGGCTATCAGTTTTGCAGCACTGGAACACATGCCTGAGGTTGCTGTTGAACTCCTAATACAATTCACTAATAACACACGCATCCTGATATATACTATCTCTAGAAATAAGACTGTGATCTAAAATCATAATGGATCTTAATGGTCCACGAATGGCCTACTAATATATATCTTCCTACTAAAAGAATACTAGAATATTCGGACAGTAGTAATGACAAATTTAAAATTCCAAACTAAGTTACTTATTATATATAAAACTAATATTAAATTAATTGCTACATATTTTTTACGGAATAATACATATAACGCTAATAACATAATATTTGTAAATGGTATAAAACTACCGTATAATAATTAAAAAAAGACTATTATATTTAAATCTATTCTAGGTGGACAACATATAGTAGCAAGAAGACTTGAACTATTAAACGTCTAATTTCCAAATTAATTAATATGAGGGTTGAAGGAAAAAAATTATTAGAAAGATGGAACACGCGAATTGTATCTTTAAAAGCTTGGCTCCTGTTTGAGGAAAAGTGATCTTTTGGTGATCTTTTCGATCTAATTCAATCCAATTTTGCCTATGCGTTTGTGATATAAAAATTAAAACACTTAAAGTATATTTTCGTGTTTAGTTGCAACAGAACCAGTGGGGATATTTGTCTTTTATTAACTGTTTCTCTGGATAGTATCTAAAGAAATTATCATCACATAACCCAATTTTATTTGTAACTTGTCTTTCATTACACTATTAGTCGACTTATTACGTTGTCATAATCGCTATTGCATTAATTTATTTTTATTTATTTATTTTATTTATTAATCGCTATTGTATTTATTTATTTACTTTTTTAAATTAAAGTTAAAAATTACAACAAATATAAGATAATTAATATCTACACGCATGCATACATAATTTTCATATATTATTAAAAGTTTTCAGTTTCAGCATTTTTGAGACCCTAGTTTTGGGAATAGGATACAGCGAAGATAAGTATCAAATCAATTGAAGAAGTAGTTATAGATTTGTTTGTCGCTTCCTTCATCATTGAAAGCAAAACTCCCTAAATATTGTTGAATTTTCTAAAACCTCACAGATAACGTATGTTATATATACGTTATTATATATACAATAAAATATAAAATAATGAGAAATTTATTTAATTATTTTAAATTTATTTATTTATTTAATTACAATACATTGTACTTAAATTAACCACTTAACATGAAAACCTTTTTTATTTTTTTATACAAATATAATTACAGACACATGTAATATATATATTATAGTAAATACAGTTTTATATAATTCTTAAGATTAATTAAAATTATTGTATTTGTTTTTATTTATGAATTTATTTTTCTTTTAAAAATATTCACGCCGAAATATTAGTTCAGACTTTTTATAGCTCTATATAATAAAATAATTAATCACTAACATAAAAACTTAAAATCTAATTTTAAATTATGAAGTAAAGTTTATTGTATTATTATTATATTTTTATAATATATATATTTTATTTTGTTTTTTTTTTATTGAGTCACATTTAAAGAATTTGAAAAAATACTTAAGATTAATATAATATATAACTTAATTAATACACAAATTTATTTCTTTTACATTATGATTTGCATAATTTTAATAACAAAATGTTTTTCAGTCTTCAATGTTATTATTATGTTTCCTGATTAATTCATACCAAAGGTTTTAAATAGGAATCGTCCAAACATGGCTTTACCTTATCTATTCTAAAAATATAAAAAAAAGTTAGATTTAGTAATGAAATATATATATATATAAAATATAAAATATTTTAAAATTTTTTATATCTAAAAAAATATATATATATATATATATATATATATATATATATATATATATATTATTTTTAATTTATTTACTACATATTTAGTTCTGTAAAAAATTTATGTTATAAATTTATTCGATAAGACTACATAATTTGAAATTAGTGAGTAGATAAAATTGTTGTAAAAATTTAATTAATTTAAAAAAATAATTTTATTTTGTTCATTGGAAAAATTAACACAAAAATAAAAAATTGTACAAACTCGTTTTAAAAGAATTTTTGTCTCAACTCTTTATTCTGTAAGCAATTTTAATTCAATTAATTAACTAATATTCAAGACTGTAATAATTCTTTTCTTACCTCATAAATCAAACAAATTTAGAAATAAAATTTTTAAATTAAATTATATTTCTAAAAGTTTTTACTTTATGAAAAATATAACAAATATGTAGTATAATTTTTAGTTTCACATAAGCTCAATTGAAAATGAAAATAGTCAAAATATATAATTATACTAAATATTAATTATTAATTGTAAGGTTAAACATACAAATTCAATGTTGTTACATTTGTAGTATATTCGGTCTTATCAGTTAGTTCCTTAACCAGAAACTTATCCAGTTTTTGAAGTATTTCCGTAAAAGTGGGTCTATCAGCAGGATTTGCATTCCAACAGGTCAGCATAAGATCATATCTTAAAAGAGATAATAAAAAAATAATATAGTTAAATATTTTTTCAAATTAAATATATATTAATAAATAACAATAATCATTATTTAATATTTTTAAATTAGGAGAGAATTAAACTAAAGATAAATATGTGTACCATATCAACATATTATACTAAAATAATTTAATCATATATTAAAAATGTTCTAAATATCTCTGATTTCATTTCAGAGATATATTCTTTCGGACACAATAAATAGTTATGTTACAAATCAATCATTATCTTACAAAATTTAAATTTTTAATAATACTTTTGCAACTAATAGTTTATTAAGTAGCATTATCCAGTTAATTAAATTTTTTTTATATAAACAAAATTCTTTAGTGCATAAGACAACATTGTTTGTGCTGTAAATTTTGTTGTTGAAAATGTAATTCTTCTTTTTTTTTTGTTCATGACTTTTGCATTTGCTTTGCTGCTTTTTATTCTTTTGGCTTCATAACTTAACCGTTTCAACTCAAATTTGTACATCTAGCAAAAATTTTAAATCGTATAGTTAACTATAAATAAAAATACTCTTTATATGAATATTCTTAATATTAATTATACATTTAATTTAATCGATCAGCATTTTCAAAGCATTTCATACTATATCAGTGGTTCACACTGATATACATCAGTGGTCCACGTAGTTGGGTAAAAAGTGATCAGTGGATCAAATTTAACAAATTTGGATACATAGCTTGTAGTTTGTCCTCACTTATTAGAAAATAAGCACAATAATTATATACCTATTTTATGGCTTATAAAATGGACCTATGCACTTATACAATTCATTATGCATTATACCAGAGATGCATAAAAATCATATTGAACTTTGCGATCACTACTTAAAACAAAAATATCACAGTAGGTTGGGCGCAACTGCTGTAGATATAATTTATTTTTATTAATTAAATTTTTCATAAGATCTTTGAATTAGTTATTAGAAACCTCAAGCTCCTGTGCGTACACTACTTAAGTATATTACTAAATTCCTAATCTTAAGTTTTGGTTATTAACTCTATGTTCTTAACTCTTAAGTTATTATAAAGTTTATATATATTTTTAATATTAAATAAATTTGTTGAATTTAATATTTCCTTATGGTATATATTATGTGAATAGACTAAGTTCTTAAATTGTAATTGTAATTTATAGAACAAGTCATAATAATAATAACATAATAATAAAAAAAATATATATAATAAATAAAAGAAACTTACAGTTGTTGCTCGCAGTGAATAGGCTTGTCCATGCGGTGTCCACTTTTCAGATATTGTACCAAGCGATTTGTTGGTATTGCAGGATACGGTGAGCCACCCAATGTCACAATTTCATAGAGTAATATGCCATACGACCAACTGTTTTAAAAGAAAGAAATATTATTATTATTATGGCATTTATATATATATAAATATAATAATGTTTGATATGATAGTCATCTTGATTAAAGAAATAAATTATTATATCAACAAAAACTTTGACATATAAATCATGTACTTATAATCAATATGATAATATACTTATATTTAATCAAGTAGTTATAATAAATATAATATATATAATATACATAATAGTTTTATGATTATATGTTGAATTCAGAGTTAAATATTAAACGAAATTACTTTCCGAAGAACCTAATAGTAAAATGTAAAACAATATATATAATAATAGCTCATAGGTAAAGTCAGATTACTGTAAAAATATATTTTTCAACAATAATCTCTGAAGTTAAGTTTTAACTTCAATAACACTATATAGGTTACTTTAATACTTATATATTGTTTTAACTTCGATAACACTATATAAAACTTATATATTGTGTATATGTTTTGGAAAAAATCCGTGTGCTATTATTTCATTGGAATCAAAATTCTGTATCAAATCTACATATCATAATATTCTATTATTGTTGATTGTCAATAGTAGATTGTATTGAAATCTACTATTGACGAATAAAAAAACTACTGAATTTCAGGTTTTATACAACAGTTACTAATACTATCCCTAAAATTTATATTAAAACGCATAGAAACTAATCTGACCTCATAAATGGAATATGATGTCCGAATAATATATTTTGATGGGCAACTTAAAACTTTTGATTTGTACTTTGGAAGACTATTCGGTACTTTCAGAAGTCAAAAAAAGATCAAAATTTCTATCTCTAAAATTTATATTAAAACGCATAGAACCTGACCTGACTTTGTTAAAGGAAAATGATGTCCAAATAATATATTTTGATGGGCAACTTAAAATTATTAATATGTACTTTGGAAGGCAGTTCAATACTTTCAGAAGTCAGAAAACATTAAAATTTCTATTCCCAAAATTTATATTAAAACGCATAGAACCTGACCTGACCTCGTTAAAGGAAAATGATGTCCAAATTGATGGGCAACTTTAAATTTTTAATTTGTGCTTTGGAAAACAGTTCAGTACTTTCAGAAGTCAGAAAACATTAATATAACAGTTACTTGTTGGTGTCTATAGTGTTCTATTTGCAAAATGTAACAAAGTTATTAAAGTTAATAATAACAATTAATTTAAAAAATTTTATCATAGAACATAAATAAACATATATAAATTTAATCGATAATATATTGACAAAATTCAATTTTATTTTAATTTTAATTAAATTTACCAAAGGCATGCTTTTAAGTGTATTAAGTAAAGTGTACAACAACAATTCAAGAAAAGATAAGTACAACAATTTTATGGTTACTTGGTTGCTTTTCGCATTAATATAACTAAAAGTTTTGACACACGTTCTAATATAAAAGGATTGCTAGGGTATCTCGAGGAACAATAAGGAACATCTTAAAATATCAAAGTTCTTATTTCTACAGAATTTGCACAGGACAAACAAAATTTTATAATGCCACCTGTACTCCGACAATTACATTGTTTGTACGACACGTGAAAGTGATGAAAAGCTCAGCATCCTTCCAAACGAAAAGGATGCAAAGTATTTTAACCTGCCATCCGTTTTTAATGAAATTTTATGGCAGAAAACTGAACAAAAAACTTAACTTGTGAAATGTTCACATTTTTCACAAAAAAAAAAAAATCAAATTCCCTAAAAATTGAAATAGAAAAGGATTTACGCATAGGAAAAGGATACATTTACGTTTCATTATACTGAGTCGAATTATATGTATTTTTGTATTTTGTGTGAATTAATATTCCTTATGGAAAGTGCCTGGTGTTAACATTTCAGAGGTAAAATTAATAAAAAAAGCACAAAATTAAGTATTTTGAAATTTCTGCAAAATTAGACAGGAATTTTTTAATATTCCCCTTTGATTTGAGTATGTCCTTTTTGTTATTTGTTTAATATCTAATTTAGTGTAGAGAATTTGATATCAACGCTTTGCCATGGAACAAAATGTTACATTACTTTTGCGAACTTTTATTTAATGACTAAATTATTTTCTTATTAGGGAAAACATCGCAGAAATGAGGTACTTTCTATTTTAATGAAGGTTCAAATCCGCCATTCAATAGGCCCAACAAAAAAGGAATATGAAGCCAAAATCTGTTATCCCACTTAGAAAAGTTGTACGTACAATTAAATTCAAATTTGATTAAAATTTCAATAACAAATTTTAAATAAATTAAATTTTTTTTTTGTTTGCTGTACTTACACATCTGACTGTGTTGTATAAATTTGATGAGTTAATGATTCCAACGCCATCCACTTTATTGGTAATTTACCATTTCCGGTCTTTTGATAAATGTTTTCTCGATACACATCACGACTGAGTCTAAATAGTAGTGCATGAAATGAAACATAAAATTATTTATTAATATAATTTTTTAATAAAAATTTTGTTTTAAAAATATTATTAAAAAAATTAGAAAAAAATATAATTAAAATGATTATTTACCCAAAATCTGCAATTTTAACAGTTCGGTCTGGCGTGACCAAAACATTTCGTGCTGCTAAATCACGATGTACCACTTTGTTCATGGAGAGAAATTCCTGCAAAAGAGAAAAAAAGTTTAAAAATAATTTAAATTAATTTATTATTTATTTATTTATTTGTGAGTTTATACTTAAATTAATTTTAAAGTTAAGTATAAGGACTACTGAACTACCAGTTTCTTCGTCCTGCTAATTTAAATTTGTTTTAAGGACACGTAGCGTATGAGTATTTTTCGAGGTGTGTAATTAGAATAATTTTTGATTAATAATATATAAAAACTTTTTTTTAGGCAGTCAATAAAAAATTTATTAGTGAAATATCATATGTTAAAGAAAAAACATAGTAATAGACCAAAATCAATGTTGTAGACGGCTACCGTCTTACACAATTTGCACCATCGATTCGTAAAATATTATATTTTTGCCTTTAACGATATTTATATTCGAAAAAATATTGACACTAGTCCTTGCAAAAGACATTATTTGATTTTTCGGTCTATAGTACATTTTAAACTGTTTAACTAAGTTAAATTTAACAAAGTAAGCTAATCTATAAGATCAGATAAACAAATATTGAAAACTAAAATAAGAGAAGCCTATGGTTCATCTTTCTCAAGATATTAGTTCGCCATTCCAAAGCATGTAAGTGATTCACTAGTTTGTTCGTTAATTTAAGTTAAGTTAATTTAGGTATACATCTCTGTAATAAGAATGCCGGATATGAATGTACTGCTTATGAGAACGAAGTAGGAACCAGCAGAAGAAGACGGCGACGAAGAAACGATGAAAAGACACTGTGCAGCAGGACTTATGGAGGACTGTTGTTAAACAAGCTTAGGTACTACATGGACTGTATAGTCATGGATGATGCTGATAAAGTATACATGTCTGCCTTAACCTAAAAAATTTCAAATTAACTGCAAACAGTTATAATTTGATATATAATAGCTTGATATATTATTTTGTTGTCATGGTTTATTGTTAGCGAAATCTAAAAATTAGATTCTATTTTTGATATAAATATTAATTATAGGATTGGTACATTTGCGATACAGTATCACAATGTCTCAATAAAATTTTACTACTCTATTCTCTACCTATTATCGTTTTAAAATTCAATCTCGAAGAGTTTAAACTGCACTATACATGATACCTATTTATATAACTCCATGTAATAAACTATAGTTAAAAATAATACTTTTCCATTTAAAATGTATTGACTTTTTGAACACTTCATATTATATTATATAATAATAAACTATAGTTGAAATAAGTATTTCTCAACCTAAAATGTTCTACGGATTTTTTGAACACTATATATTACACCTATGTAGTAATAAACAATAGTTGAAATCAGTATTTCTTAACTTAAAATGTACTACAACATGAAAAAAAATAGAATATATTCTGTGATGATCTGTATCAATACATTCCCAAAAAATATTATATAGTAAAAAGGAAGAAATAATATTTCACGGACCGATGATGTTATTGTCTCGAATCGACAGCTGAGAAACAATGCTTTAAATCACATATTCATTTATTAATCTTAAAAAATATTTCTATTGTAACTGAAGGTAAATTGATTGTCTTTTTAATATATACATATATATTTAACTTTTTAAATAAGTCCATATATAATAATTAGTTTATAATATTAAGTTTATTTCTAATAAACTAAAAATGTTCTTTTAATAAACGAATATTTAAAAAAAGCTAAAAACTTACCATGCCCAGAGCTACTTGTTTCGCTATATCCGCTAAATCACCAACACTGAGTGGTTCACGATGTACTGAAAACTGTAGGGCATCCACTTTTCCATCCAATTTTGTATGTTCTTTCTGATTATTTCCATTCTTTAGCATTTGCTCAAAATAGGCTTTATTCTCTACCATCTTGATTTTCTTTGCCATTTTATGTTTCTCACATTCACAATTTTTAATTGCAATAGTCTTATTAGCAGGACCACTATTAAAGTATCTTTCAATATCGACATCACTAGATCCAATTTGATCTTGTGTATCCTTTATTGGGTCAATTTCATTATCATTGATTTGTGCTCCAGTATCAGTAATAATAACTTCACATTTACAGGTGCTGGTACACATTTGATCATAACCGTAGCCCACATTTGACACCGCCGGTGTTAGAATTGAAGCTTTTATTATATCCTCAATGCGATTATTATAATTAACATCATTATTATTATTATTTGAAATTGATTTTATTCCTTTGGAATTATATTCTTGCATTTTAGTGGCATTTGTGTTGAAATTTTCACTGTTTTCATTATTGTTGAAATAGTTTAGGTTTGTATTATCGCCAGATTCTTTACTGAGTCCTTCATATCTCCCCTTTGAAAGTTCGGAAATAGTTCTCATTTGTGTATCATGTAAGTGTTTCCACTCGTCTCTACAATAAAATATATAAAATATATAATATATAAATATATTAAAAATATATAAAAATATGACTAACTAAGAACAACATAATAATTTTGATGTGTAAGTTATATTTTTTATTAATATTTTATATTTATGTTTTAGTTTATAATTAACATTTTTTTTTCTCTCTGGGTAACCACGCTTTGAGAAGTATATCTAGTATTATTGATTTTAATTAAAGAGTTCAAGAGTTTTGATGTATATATATATA